ACTTGAGCCAGTGAAGCAACGTCCTCCACAACTAGACTGAAGAACAAAACAACAGCAACTTGTCTGTTCCCCTTCCCCCAATTTCCCAGCACTGTTCCCATCCCCCCAATTCCCCAATTAAAAAAAATCTTTTAAAAAAAATAACACTTATTTTTATGGCATACTAGGATGAATAGGAAAGGACATCTGAGCTGGGAGCTCAGGCCACAGTAGACACTGACCAGCTCCCATGAAGGCAATGAGCATCAAAACTCAGTGCCTGGCATACTTGTTGGGAGGCTCTGTTTTAGACACCTTTCCATGAATTGTTCTACAACACAATTTTCATTAGCTGTGTAGCATTTCATATATATACCTTGATTCATTTAGCCAACACTGTGTTACTGGATAGTCAGGTTATATCACATATTTCATTATTATAACACTGTACTGACAAATCCTAGTACAATTAAATCTGGGGACATACTTCACACTACTTCCTTCAGAGTTAAAGGGTGCGGAACTTTTAAGGGTTTCTGATTCACACTGCCCCGTTGCTTGCCGGAAAGGTGGTTCCATTTCTAAATTTCTAAATTTAAATGGGGTGTGACGCTGTCCATACAACCTCAGTGTGTAAAACTGCCTCATCAACAGGATGTTGGAAGGGAAGCCTGTCTCTCTAAATTTTGCGGGAGGAACCAATGTGATAAAATATCCAAGTGAGCATGATATGTACTCTATGTACAGAGTTTACAGAGAAAAATCCTAGACTCTTGAACCCTTATGAAGATCAGAGATATAATAAGGCTTCAGAGAGAGGATTTCATGAGATGTCAGGAAGGCAATTCTGAATTCACAGGAAAGAATTCTATTGGGTTGTCGGAAAAGTCATGACGTATTTTGTCTATGTTTTTCAAAGGTCATTTATTTATATAAAGAACAAAGATCAATTAATGACATATTGCCTGTTTTGTTCGATAACCTTTTGCCATCTTTCAGTGAGTTTCATAATTCCTCGTTCATAGAAGGACCTGTCTTTATTTGCAAAAAACTGAACAAGGTGCTGATTTATAGCTCATCTGAATTGAATGTTATACCACACAAGGAGTTCTGAAGAGAGCAAAACAAGTGGAAGTCTAAGGGCGCAAGATCAGGTGAGTATGGTGGGTGTGGCAACACATCCCATCCAAGCTCCAATAATTTTTGACGGGTGATCAAACTTGTGTGTGGTCTTGCATTGTCGTGATGGAACACAACTCCTTTACAATTAACAAGCTCTGGACATTTGTGGATGATGGATTCATTCAAGCTGTCCAATAGCCAACAGTACACATTCAAATTGATTGTCTGGTTCCTTGATAGGAGCTTGAAAAACACGACAGCTTTTAAATTCCACAACACTGAGAGCATAACCTTCTTCTGACGAATGTCTGCTTTCGATGTCATTTGAGGCGAATCATCACATCGAGACCAAGACCGTTTTTGCACCACATTGTTGTAAACAATCCACTTCTCATCACCAGTTATCAGTCGCTTCAAAAAAGGATCGTTTCCCTCAGGTTTAATGAGCATACTGCAGATGTTTATATGCACTGTCAAATGAACTTCTTTGAGTTCATGAGGAACCCAAATATATAGCTTGCTCAATGTATCCCACCTTCTTCAGGTGGTTGTGAACGCTTGAATGATGGATGTTCAATGTTTCTGCAATCTCTCATGTCATGTAACATGGGTTTGACTCGATCAATGCCCTTGTTTTGTCATCATCAATCATGGTGGGCCTCCCTGACCAAGGAGCATCATTGAGATCAAAATCACCAGCACGGAATTTTGTGAACCATCGTTGGCACTGACGTTCTTGTAGAGCATTGTCACTGTAAACTTTATGCAGCTTTTCACAAACTTGATGTGCGTTCTTCCCTTTATGGAAGTAAAACAGTAAAATATGGCAAAAATGCACAGTTTGGTCCTCCATCTTCAAATTGTTGTAAAATCTCCAAAACTCAACCAAATCACTCAGTATATTTTTTAGAATGAAGCTAGAACAGTCAGCTGTCAAATGACATAGCAATACATAGATGCGAATCACTCTAGTACTTCCAAAAATGAGCTAGTGCCATCTGTTGCAAGCATGCATCATGACTTTTCTGACAACTCAATAAGTCTCATTATTCTCACTGGTAAAGAAAACATACTGCATATGTGGAAGTAAGCAAACAGGCCCTCCAACAGGTTACTCTATTTTGTGACTTCATTTATTTTTTACCAGATTCAAAGAATACGAGATACAGTGTCTGGAGATATGGATTCTAGTCATGCTTCTACCACCAAAAAGCTCCATGACCTTGGGAAAATCACTTAAACTCTCTAAATTTTAGGTTCTCTCCTTGCAAAATTACACTGTAGCTATTCTAAGGGTCCATCTACAATAGTTCTAACATTTTATGATTACAAGAAAGCAAAATTTCTCGAAAGTACATTCCAGGAGTCCATGAACATAAAGGGTTCATGATCAAATAATTTTTAACTTCTTTATAATGTATATCCCTCTTGTAAATTCAAAGTCCATTAGCATATTAATGGCTTTGAGGAATTCTACAGAAATAAAACTTTTTGGTCTGGTTAAATCAAAGACATCCAAATTTATTTGAATACTTTGTAAGTTTTAAAAAATTTTTTATTTTCAATGAACATTTACATATCACCCATAGATCAATCTTTAAGAAACAATGAAAATAGTTATTTGATAATCCTAGGTTTGAATATAGTTCCTTGACAGGTATTTAAAAATAGGACATTAACTCAATCGAGAATAGTTCTAAGACACAAGAGCAGCTAATTCTAGGTATAAGGCACACTCTATTCTTTGAGTCAGTCTTGCTGCTTCCTTCATTTTTTGGTTTACAGCATTCTCAGTATAGATACTTTGTGTCAATTCATATACCATTCTTCAAAACTCAAGCTCAGTAAAACTATCCTTTCCAGGAAAAACTAAACTTCAATTTCTGTTTTTCCAAGTGCTGGAAAAGGCCCCTAACGAGAAGGAAGGCTCCATTACCTACCATATTCATTGCTGTACAGTTTTTCTCTGTGTGACCTGGTCCTTCTCTGAGAGTTCAGGATAGAGAAAGATTCCAAATAAAGGCTCTTCTCCCAACATACCATCAAGGTACAAGTAAACCCACACCATATCTTTGTTTTGATCCTGTTTCCTTGTTATTACATTGGATTTCAAAAGCCTTTGACAATAATCCTGTCACTCGTATCAGTTGCTTAAAGCACACGAGCACGCGCGTGCACACGCGTGCACACACACACACTCTTTAGGTGGTAGCAGCAGGATTCATCCTTTTACTGCCACAGTAACTTCCAAGATAGATCAGGGATAATTTCACCTGGTATCCTGCTGTTCTACTCTCATTTGGGAGGTTTTTTATCAAGTTGCATATGTTAAATGTGTTGTATATTTACTTACACCTGTTTAGTTTGGAAACTTAATTAATCATAGAGGCTGGACTACACAATACAGCACTTAATAATATTCTATCTCAAAGCAGTGGAAAGAACAAGAGTTTTGGAGGTGAAAGACTTCAGTTTTAGTCGTGGATCCTCCAATTCATAGCTGTAAGACTGTGGCCAAGACACATAATTTCTTGGAAGTCCATTTCTTCACCTATAAAATGAAAATAACAGTAGTACCTATTCCAGTGTTATTTCAAGGATCAAAACAAATGAGAAAGTACAAAAAATATATATATCATAGAGAATATAGATTACATAGAATAATTTAAAGAAAAGATAATAAAGCAACAGAGCTGAGATTAAAAGGGAGATTTCATACCCAAGGAAACCAATCAAGAGGCAAAACAACATAATTACAGAATAATACATATCCAGGGCCGGCCGAGTGGCGCAATGGTTAAGAACTGGTTTGGGACGCCAGAGGGCCCTGGTTCGGATCCCACATATGAGGGCCAGTGACACTGCTCTCCACAGCTAAGATGCTGAACAACAGCTCAACCTGGAGCTGGGCTGCCGTGAGTCACCGGCGACAGCGTAGNCACTATGGGCAGTCTATCTGAAGTGTACCTGGCGTATAAGACGACCCCCCACTTGGAGGCATATTTTTCAGGGCCAAAAAATCGTCTTATACGCTGGCAAATACAGTATCTATGGTTGGAGACTAGCTCATTTATTATGAAAAAATAAGACAAGAAAATCAAAGAATTGGTGTCCATTAATAGAAATGCTCTCTACTCCTTTCCATCAAGAATTATATATAGGGGGAAAGATGGCAAATTTTATGGAAAAGTTAGCCTATTTTCCAAACCAGGATCAGCCAACTCACCATTTGTTTTCAGCCATTTTTTGGAATGAAGGTAACTCTCCAGCATCCTTTCATTGAAGAGCATGTATCCCATTGGTTCAGAAATGATCACATCTACAGCTTCAGGAAGTGAGATTTCTTCAATTTTCCCTGGCAGAACAATGATCTTGTCTGAAAGGTGGTTATTTTTCACTAACATCTGAAAAAGATGAAATAGGGTACCGGTATTATTGTTATACAGAATCTTATGAAAAATAAGTGTTACAGGTTAGGGATTGATGGCGTGGTAGGAATAAGAGGTTAAGTGGCTTATTTGTTTCTGTAAATACTGACAAATATTTTTTCTTACTGCACAAATATTTCATGTCTAATATAAATTAGAAGATACAGATATGAGACAAATAGAAACACCTCTAACTGTACCACATACAAATAATAACTATTAGTAGTTTGATGTATACCCTTCTAGACTCTTTATAAAAACATAAACTTGTAAGTGTATATGTGTGAGTGTGTGGTGTGTGTGTGTTTGTGTGTGTATGTATGCACATGTATTTTGGGAGGGATTGTTTTTATGAATAGTTTCAGCTTATTTCCCATTATTCTGTCTGCAATAAAGATGCCAAAAAGCTCTGTACAATAATCTTGCATGAAATAATGATATTGATCCTTATTAAACTATCCCTTGATCTTTTGATTCTGAAAATATCAATAATACCATGTTCATTAACCTGTCTTTAGAAATATATTTTACAGTCATGGAGTCGTTCCTCTTTGATGTCCTCTGTATTCTATTTAATATCTTTGAACTAACTTAAAGAAGGGATCTTGAAGAGAAACATACTTATTTTATTTCTAATGTAGGTCTTCTTAACGCCAAATATGACACTGTCTACATGCACCAGCATAAACATGTACAGCACACTCCTTTTTAAGTCATGGTTCCCTGAGACCCTGAGACATTTACATCTTTGCTCATTATATTTGTATACAGTCAGAGACCGTCTTTTGTATTTTCGTTGACTTGATCCCTTCCCTCATCCTAAATGCAGTATACCATGAATTTATCATGATCCAGTTCTCAACTTCTGATCAGTTCTTCACATGGCTTGGGTATCTTTCACCTCAAACCCTATCACCTAGGGTGCTGCTCACCCACATGTGCCCTATAAGCTTATCAAATGTCTTTTCTACTTATACTTTTTGAAAAAGAAATCAAGTAACCTTTGATCTAAGGAAAAAAAAACTAAAGAAAACTATTTGAACATGCCGTGCATTGTCATCATTTAGCCATGAACAAGGACTCTTGGAATTTCTGAGTCATCATTCCACTCGTGGGAGTCAACTTCACGGGATTGTGTGGAGACAAGGCTTGAAGGTTAACGTTTTTTGTGCCCTGCTTTTCTCTGAACGTTCTCCTCTCAGGAGAGTCCGTTCATATGCACGGCTCTAACATGGGTCTATTGTGGATGACTCTCCACACTACCTCTTTAGGTTCGCCCTCACCTGAGCTCTAGCCATCGCCTGAACATTTCCGCCAACGTGCTTTGTCATCTCCTCAGTATCGACAAGAGCTAACCTAGCTTCTTCTTAAAAACTAACCATTCCCTTAAATTTCCTTAGAATCTTTATATAATCTTGTATTTCCTTGATTCTGTTTTGATCACAAACACTATAATCCTCTGTATCCTGGAAGCACATAGTTACTTCCCACAGACAATTAGCTCTATGTTATTGTTATTTCTGCCTTTCAGATATCTCATTTCCATGTTTTCCTTTCTGCCTGAACCAACTTGTCTGGCTCCTAATCGCTTCATATCTAGAATTTAAACGTATCATTTATATAATGAAAATAATAATAGTAGTACCTACTTCATAGGCTGCTTGAGGCCAAAACAATATAAAGCATATTAAGGACTTAGGGATAAGTATTAAAATTATTACTGTTACAGTATTATTTTTATTAAAGGAATATTGTTCACTAAAAAAGAGAAATGCAAATGAGCAAAAATACGAAACTAAAAATCACTTGTATTCCCATCATGCAGATGTAGGCTGGGTATATTTCCCAGAAGACATTTGAGTGTATCTCTGTTTATAAAAGTATATAATGTTTTATACTAATACTTGATAATATTTTTTCCATGTAATATGTTTTAGACCAGTTTTCTGAATGTTTTTTTCTATCATGGCACACACTTAAAAATAACACTTAGGGCCGGCCGAGTGGTGCGATGGTTAAGAGCTGGCTTGGGATGCCAGAGAGCCCTGGTTCAGATCCCACATGAGGGCCAGTGACACTGCCCTCCACAGCTAAGATGCTGAACAACAGCTCAACCTGGAGCTGGGCTGCCCTGAGTCACCGGCAACGGCGTAGGCTGCAGCCCCTGTGGCAGTGGGTTGCCATGGGCTACCGT